ATACTCTACAGTCCAGCCAAAGTGACCTTTCTGTTTTGGATTCACAACACTCCATTTTCATTTCCATGCCTTCATGCTAGCCATCCCCAAGTCTGTAATGCACTCCCTTCTTACATCTGCTTCCCAGATTCCCTCTCTTCCTTTAAGTTGCAACTCAGGCACCACCTTCTGCATGAAGCCTTTCTTGATTCCCAATTGCTACTGCCCTCCCTCCCAAACTATCTTATATTTAACTTCTTTGTATATAATTGTGCTTATTAAATTTATATTTATGACATGTATTTTTTATTGTACATCATAAAAACTTAGAGAAAAGGGTATCAAAGAGGAGAAGGTGATGAACAGTGTCAAAGGCCCCAGAGAGGTCAAGAAGGAAAAGTATTGAGAAAAATCCATTGCATTTGGCAATTAGGAGATCATAGATAACTTTGGAGAGAGCCATTTCAATAGAATGATGAGGTCAGAAGGAAAATTGCAAGTGGTTAAGGAGAAAATGAGAGGAGAGAAAATGGAGGCATCAGTTGTAGATGGCCCTCTTGAGAGGGCTTTCAAAGATTTTAGCCACAAAGGGCAAAAAAAAGATAAAACAATAATTAATAGGGATAGAAAGTTCAAGTAAGAGTTTTTCAGGATGAAGGAGAAATGTGCATGTTTGTATGCAGTAGGAAAGAAGCCAATAGACAAGAAAAGATTGAAAATAAGTGACAGAATGGGGTTGATAGAATCAGCCATCTGTTTGAGGAGAAGGGATGGAATGGGATCAGTTGTGCAGGTAGAGGGTTTGCCTTGATGAGGAGTAGGGCCACCTCTTTGTGTGAGAGAGGAGTGAAGAAGAAAATAGTGTCACAAGGCATCTGAGTGATGAGACAAGGAAGATGTTCACAAAAAAAGTCCTCATTTTTTTCATAAAATACAAGGCAAAGTTCTTAGCTGAGAGGGTAGGGGTAAGGGGAGCCATAGGAGGTCTGAGGAAGAATGAAAAGGTTTAGAAAAACTACTTTGGGGAGCGGGATAGTGAGTTGATAATGGAAATGTAGAACAATTCTCTAAAAGTCGTGAAAGCCTAGTTGAGGTTACGTAACATAAATTTGTAGTGGACCAATCAGAACATTTCTGTGATTTTCTCCATCTTCATTCAACAGCATATGTATGAGAGTAAAGGAGGTGGATGGTGGGAGTCATCCAAGGTTGAGATTTGACAGGATACAACTGTCAAGAGGACAGTATAAAGATTTTTTGTTGTTTATCCTCCATACTCAAAGAAGACCAATGACATCACAATGTTGGGGTCAAGGTACTATATGTTCAACTGTGGCTAATCAATCCAATACAAACTTGGAAGGCTCTACCACAGGTCGGGCACAAATAATTCATTTGAACATTCAAGATGAAGATGTCTCTAGATTTGTGTATCTCACATTTCCTTTGTGCTACTGCAATTCTGCTTTGTTCATAGAGCACATCACCTTCTTTGATGTGGGCATGGTATGCTGGGTGGTCCTGTTTCAGCATCTCCTATGTCTCACAAACAATGTTAAAAATCTTCAGAGACCTTGAGAGTGTCCCTGTACCACCTCTTCTTATCTCCACATGAGTACTTGCCTTGTGCAAGTACTCTGTAAAATCATCTTTTCGGTAAACAGTTGTTTGGCATTTGGGCAATGTGGCCAGTCCATCATAGTTATGCTCTCTGCAGTAGTTTGAATGCTTGGTAGTTCAGCTCAAGAGAGAACCTCAGTGTCCAGCATCTTATCTTTCCAGGTAATCTTCAAAATCTTCCTAAGACAATTCAAATGGAAGAGGTTCAATTTTCTGTTACGGTACTTGTAGACCAGTCAAGATCTACAACAATGAAGTCAACACAATGGCTCTGTAGACTTTCAGTTTGATAAGCAGCCTAATACTTCTTCTCTCCCACACTTCATTTTTCAGCCTCCTAAATGCTGAGCTAGCTCTGGCAATGTATGCATCAACCTCATCATCTATTTATATATTCCTGGAAAGTATACTGCCAAGGTAACTGAATTTATCCACAGAATTCAACATTTCTCTATTTGCTATAATCAACAATTCTATATATGGATGGTGTGGTGCTGGCTGGTGGAGAACCTCTGTTTTCTTGGTGTTGATTGTCAGGCCAAAATTAGCACAAGTAGCAAAGACTCATTCCATACTCTGTTGCATCTCAGCCTCAGAGGCTGAATTGAGTGCACAATCATCTACAAACAAAAAGCCAAACACTAGATCTCCTTCCAATTCATTCTTGGCTTGTAGCCTTTTCAAGTTAAATAGTTTACTGTAAGTGTGGTGGCTGACCTTGATGTTGTTTTCATCCCCATTGAAGGCATCTGACAACATCATGGAAAATATCATGCTAAAAAGCATGGGAACAAGCACACAGCCCTGCTTCACTCCATTGGTGACTGGGAAAGTGTGAGAGCATCATCTCAATATTGATGAATTTCTCCAGGCAACCAAATTTCACCATAATCTTCCATAAGCCCTCATGATTGACAGTATAAAAAGCCTTGGTTAGATTGAGAAATGTTGTGTACAGACTTCTGTTCTACTCCTGGAATTTCTCTTGGAGTTGTTGGGCAACAAATACCATTCGACAATTCCTCAGGCTTTTCTAAGCCTCACTGACTCTCAGGTAGAGATGCTTTTCCAGGTGAAGGATTAGCTGATTGAGGAGGACTCTGGAAAGAATCTTGCTAGCAATGACTAAGAGACAGGCACCCTATCCATGACTATCACAGGACAACCTTTATTGAGACAGACAATGGTGGCATCCTTGATCTCCTAGAGGATAACTTCCTCATACTATATAACCTGGAAAATTTCAGTCAGCTTCTGTATAAGCAGGAAACCCTCTGCCTTATAGATTTCTGTTGGGATGGAATCAGCACCAGGCTCTTTGCCACAATAGAGTAGCCTAATGCCATTCAATACCTCTTCTTCAGTTGGAAGTTTGGCTAGAGAGTGATTGACTTCAACTGAGGTATAGGGTGAGTGGCTTCAGTATTGGTTGGTGAAAGTCTATTGAAAATACTGTGGAAATTTTCAGCCCATCTCTCTAGGATCATGTCCATATCACTGATCAGTGTGACTCCACCAGAACTGAATAGTTGAGATGCTCCAGAGGTCTTTGGCCCATGGTCTTGGGCATCATCGAAGTGCTTTAGATTGTTGCTATCAACATAAAACTGAATCTCATTTACCTTTTTACTGAGCCAAGAATTCTGCATCCCTCTAAGCTTCTCTTGCATTTTACTTTTAATGGAATTAAACACTGCCTTCTTAGAGACTGCAGACTGTTCTGCTGGTAAATGCTATGGAGTTCTCAGGGGATTTTATTTGTTTGTTTGTTTAGCAGTTTCTGAATTTCCCCATCATTTTTATCAAGTCAGTCTTGATGTTTGCAAGTGTTCTGGCCCAGATGAGCAAATTCAGTGCTATATACCAAGTCTCTGAAAGCTGCCCACTTTTTTTTCTGCTCCACTATCGCAGTGTACTGATAGCTTTCTCTATAGGTAAGCAATAAACTGTTCACACAGGGAGAATCACATACTCTAATCTATTGACACTAAGCTTCATTACAGTCATTTTGCCTTGGGGGCACTGCTTTTGTTGAATACACATGTTTAGCTTAATGAGGATAAGTCTATGATCAGTCCAGCACTCTGCACCACACATCACCTTGGTCACTCTTACATCCTGTCAATCTCTTCTCCTTATAATGATGTGGTCCATTAAATGTTTGTGTTTGTTGTGAGGGTGCATCCATGAAGTTTTGTTGCATTTAGGCAAAGGGAAGACAATACTAGTAATGAGGTCATGAAATGCACAAGTCTTCAGTAGAAAATGATACTTGCTGTTGCTATTTCCAACTTCATTCCTTCCAAGGATTCCCTGCCATGTCTGGTAGTCTGTACCTTCTCTGGCATTAATGTCACTCTGAGTTATAAGTTTATCCTCTTTTTACACACTGATGATGGTCTCTAGGTCTTCATAAACTTTTTCTTTGACCTCATCAGCATTCATCATGATGGCAGCATACACATTGATGATGATGATGATGTTGCAGCATTCGTTCACTCCTTTTGGGAAACATACAAGCTTGCTGCCTAGGCTAGCTCTGATTTCGATATGCCAGCTTCACAGTGCTCCTCATCATGGTGGTCACTTCAGAAAAATGTGTATCAGCTCTGACTTCAGTAAAGTGGCTTTTATTTACCAGTCATGTTTCATTCAGGGGTGCTCTCTGAATGCAGTATCTGCCAAATTACCTTGCAACAAGAACAGTTTGTGTTTCAGGCCTGGATTTCTTGTTGTCCATGTACATATGCACATTCTATGTACCGATAACAAGTAGAATAATCTTTGCAAAGGTTTTTGTACATTCTTTGTGTTCCAACCACAGGATGGGATTCCTGCTAGCCATGGTAGGCAGGCCAGGGTTGAGTGAAGCAGACAATTTTTAGGGCATCTTTGCTAGCCCCTTCCTCACACCAGGAGATGAGCAGTGCAGTCCTTTGAAAAAGCTGCTCAGACACCCAGGGGCTGCCAAATCTCACTGCTGCTTCAGTCCAGTGGGCAGATGACCCTATGCCCTGGGCTACCTGTGTGAAGTATTGTGACTGCAACTCTCAGTGTATCTGCACATGCTACTTCATCACTCACTTGTCACCACAGGATTTCAAGGTAGGTAAAATAGTAAGATAGTAAAATAATAAAATAGTGGATGATGGGTAATGTCTTGCACTTTAATTGGATTTAAGTGAGGCAGAGTTGTGCAAAGTCATCAGCTTCACTCTCTCTTCCAAAGTCATCAAAGTCCAGTGGTAAGAGAAAAGTCAAGATGATTGGTGATGGCCTGGCATGCAGTGGATGACCTTGGTGCCTGTTGAAGTAACAGGCACGTGTCCTGGTATCATCTTAAAAGAAATTCGGACTCAGACTGTCTCCAAATCAAGCAAGGGCATTTATTTGGGGTGACACTCCCAGTGGGTTCTATTTCTTAAGGAAGATAGGCACACCACTGGAATAAATCATGGGACTTACATGGAGCAGAAAATACTAACAAGCATTCTAAATCTGGTCCAAACCACAGTCACCTGGTTACCAAAACACACACAAAAGCAAAATAGAACTTCACATGCAGCTACCCATAATGCAAAGAGAAAAACCCACTTGGGGGAGGGTATTAATTTATGGTAAAAACAATATAATGAGCCCAGGTTCACCTTAAGGTGAGCCAAAATAGATAGCGCACAGACATTATTCTAGGGAAAGTCCCGTCTGTGATTTAGTGTCCAACATCCTGTCTAGGGAACACATTCATTGGTTAACACATATTTATCTTGGGCAATGGTTCCTCATTGTCTAGCAACTGTTGTTGATACAGTTATTGCAAATGTATATAACTGTTGCTAACATTGCTATCCCCATCCACTCCCACCTCAAGCAATACAGGACCTCAAATCACTTGGGTGGACAAGGGGCAGAGGTCCTATCTTCTGGGACTTCTTCAGCCTGACAAGGGGCATAGAGCTGTCCCTTCCTCAATGGATCCCAGGGAGGAGGTTGACTGGAATTGAGTATAGGCAACATTCAAGGGATGAGGGGTGGATATGGGCTGGTATCCTTAATTTAACAGAAGACAGTCTTTATTCATTCACAATCCCCCCAGGTTTCTTCTGGAATAGCAACTTCAAGTCCTCAACAGGTTCACAAGTGTATTCTGAGGATGAAAAAGAACAGGGGAAGGAGAAGATTTAATTCAAGATACACGAGTCCAACTGAGTAAGCCTTTTAGCCTGACCACAGTGGGAGTGGTGAGCAAAACTTGGTATGGTCCCTTCCATTTTACTTCCAAGTGCTCCATCCCATAGGCCTTCCAAGACTTCAGGTACACCATGTCACCTGGGTGCACAGAGGTGGGAACCTTGTTGCAGCAATCAGTTGGTTTTGGGAGATGTTCATTGGAGTACTTGGTCAGAACATTCTAGACCATTCCCAGCTGCATTGCAGACTAGGTAATTAGGTGTTGCTCCAGGACTACAATAATGTCAGAGGTTAGAAAGGGTCATCCATGAAGAAGCTTAAACGGGCTAAGCTCAATGTTATACCAGGGGGTAATACAGATCAGAAACAACACTACTAAGAGAATTTTTACCCAGTCCTCGAGTGTTTCCTGATAGAGTTTGGTCAGGACCCATTTGAGGGTGTGGTTCATTTTTTCCACCTTACCAGAAGACTGGGGATGCCAGACAGTGTGCAGATAGTAGGTGATCTTAAGGGCCTCTGCAACACCCTGGGTTATCTGCGAGGTGAAGGCAGGGCTGTTGTCATCCTGCAAAGAATGAGCAAAGCAGGGTATGATTTCTTTTAATAATGCTTGGTCCTTTTCAGGCCTGCAGGGGAAGGCTTCAACCCAGTTAGTAATGTTGTCCACAAATACCAGAAGCAACTTAACACTTCTACAAGGGGAGCATGTGAGTGAAATCTATTGTCCAATCTTCTCCTGCATAGGTATCCTTCCTCTGCACAGGTTTTAAAGGAGAGGGGTTAACGGCCCCTTCAGGATTTACCTGGGCACAGGTGGGACAGGCTTGGGAGACTTGTTGGATGGTTTCCTCCAGCTTGTGACCAGTGAAAATAGATTTCACTGAGGACTAGAGGGCATTCTTCTCCAAGTGAGTAGCCTGATGTAGGCCAAAAAGAAGCTTGTACTGGCTTTCCTCTGGGATAAGTAATTGGTCCAAGGGTGCCTGGAACCACCTGGAGGGGAAAAGAGTATATCCCCTCTCTTTGGCAAGGGCCCATTTTTGGGAGCTATAGGAAGGTGTGTAAGAATTGGGAACTAGGGGAGTAATGGTGCCATGGTCAAGGGTAAGCTCAAAGCTGCTCAAGCAGCTGAGTCTGCAAGTTGGTTGGTTACCTCTGGCTTAGACTGAGTCCCCCTTTTGATGTCCTTTACAAAAGATAATGGCTACTTCCTTATGTTCAAAGACAGCTTGCAGTAACTGTGTAAGATTTCCCCAGCATGCTTGATGGGGGAATGTTTGGCTATCAAGAATCCCCTCTCCATATAGTCCCATGAACATACAAGACATGAAACACATACTTGGAATCAGTAAATATGTTAACCCTCAGTCCCTTCCCTCATTCTAAAGTCCTGGTAAGGGCGACAAGTTTGGCACTCTGAGGAGAGGTGGGGGGGGGGGGAGTTATTTGGCCTTATGATAGAATCCAAGCTGATTACAGAGTAGCCAACCCTTCTCTCCCCATTGTTGAGGAAGCGGACCCATTAGTGAATCACACCTCATCAGGATTGTTAAGAGGAAAGTCCTTCAGGTTGGGATAGCTTGAGTAAACAGAATCCAGGGTTTCCTCATAGTCATGAGTAATATCACCTGACTGTGCAGTGTCAGAAAGTAGGGAAGCTGGACTGAGAGTGTGGCACACCGAGAGAGTTAAGTCAGGTGTGCCCAACAGGAGGCCCTGATATTTAGTGAGCCTACCATTAGCCAGCCACCAACGGCCCTTGGATTCCAAAAACTTTGAACCCAGTGAGGAGTTAAAACTTCTAAAGTTTAGCCAAGAGTGAGTTTGGAGGCTTCCTCGATTAAGTTGGCTGTGGCAGCCACTGTCCAGAGGCAGGAGGGCCATCCAGAGGCAATAGAATCAAGTTGTTTCGAGAAATAATCTACTGACCAGCCGTCAGGTCTTAGGGTCTCAGTTAAAACTCCCAAGGCTTCGCCCCACCTCTCATCAACATACAAGGTAATGCTGGATCAATGGTCAATTTGGCCTTCAGGTCTTAAAGACCTTGGCCTGATCCTCTCCCCATTCTAAGGGTTGTGAGTCAGGGCCTTTGATAGAGTCATACAGAGGTTTAGCAAAGACCCCAGAATTGGGGATCCAGATTTGGCAGAATCCTATCATGCCCAAAAAGGTACACAGCTGTTTCTTTGTGGTGGTTCAGGAATGGACAATATCCCCTGCTTTCTTTTGGATGTTAGTGAGCATGAAGTGGGTGTGAGTTCAGGGCCCAAATATTTTACAGATTGGCAGGCAATTTGAGCTTTAGTCAAAGACACTCTATGGACCTGGGTGTTCAGGAAGTTGAGGGTCTGTGTAGCAGTGGCCAGGGAGGCCTCTCAGTTTGGGTTACAGATGAGAATATCCTCTACACAATGAATTAGACTATTATTAGTCAGCTCCAAATCATTCAAATCTTTTCCTAAAGCCTGACCAAATAAATGGAGGCTATGTTGGAAGCCTTAGGGCAGAATTGTTTATGTCAGTTGGTATGGGTTTGGTTTCCCTGGGGGCGTCCACTCAAAAGCAAAGATAAACTGGGAGTCTTTGTGGAGCAGTACGCAGATGAAAGCATCTTTAAGGTCCAGAGTGAGAAACCACTAGGTATCCCCCAAGAATTTGAGTAAGGATGGTATAAGGCTTGGGTACTATAGGGTAAATGGGGATAATGGCTTCATTAACGACTCTGAGGTTCTGCAGCAAGCCAGTTTTCTCCTTTAGGCTTTTTAACTGGGAGGATGGGAGTATTATAGGGAGATTGGAATGGAACCAGAAGCTTATACTTAAGGAACTTTTCAATTAGTGGTTGTAATTCCTCCTGGGCCTCAGGCTTAATTGGATACTAGTGCTGGTCGGGAAATGCCTTAGGATCTCAGAGGCAGACAAAGGCTGGGATGGCATGGGTGGCTCACGCTGGAATTCCTGGTCCCAGACCAAGGAATCTATTCCATTCCAGTTCTCTGGTGGAATATGAGGGGAGCTTGAGGAAAGTAACAAAAGCAGTCCTGGCAGTCCAAGGAGGGAGAACTGGATTCCCAATTTCACCATTAGATCCCTTTCCAACAAAGGGGCTGGGCAAGAGGAAAGGACCAGAAAGGAGTGATTAAACAACAGATTCTCAAATTGACAAGACAGAGGCAAGGCACTTTCTAGATTTACCCTTGATCCCCACAACCTGGTGGTGTCAAGGACGGGTGGGGCTGGAGTGCTGGGGTAAAATAAAGTAAGTGGCTCCCTTGTCAATAAGAAAACTCCTGGTCTTACCTACCACAGATAAAATTACCCTGGGTTTGGCCATGATAATGGAGAAGGAGGAAGCCTGGCCAGATCCTGGGCCTCATCACTTCAAGTCCTGAGGAGCTCAGCGCATGGGCTATTGGGAGTTGGCTGTTCAACCCTCTTTCAAGCAGTCTCTTTTCCAATGTCCCTCCTGGTTACAAATAGGACATGGGCCCAGGGGCTTACTCTTCAGTGGGCACTCACAAGACCCATGGGCTTCTTATGGTATCCAAAGCACAAACTCTTTCCACAGGAATTGTGGGCAAGATCCTTCTGGGTACTGATTATGGCAGCAGCCAAAAGTTAAGTCTGTTCCCTGTTCCTAGCTTTTTGGTCCTTATCCTTTGTGGCAGCTCGGAACCTATTGTTAAACACTCCAAAAGCTATCTCCAAAAGCTGGGCTTGAGATGTCTGGGCTCCCATAGCTAACTTCTACAACTTCCTCTGAATATCTGGGGTAGATTGACTAATAAAGTCCTTGCCTAAAATCAGTTTGAACCAATGAAAACCAGTTTAAACTGGGGAAAAAGAAACATTTACAACCAGTTAAAAAGAGCCCAAAACAGTTTAAACTGGCAAAAAAATCAATTAAAACCAGTTCAAGCCAGTCAAACCCAGTTAAAAGCAGTTCAAACCAGTTAAAAGCAATTCAAACCAGAAAAAAACTCCAGAGTTCAAACCAGTATAAACCAGTTACTGGAAAAAAAAAAAGATAAAACCAGTATAAACTAATTAAAACAAGTATAAAACAGTTAAAACTGGAAAAAACAGTTAAAAAAAACAGTTCAAACCAGAAAAAAAAAGTTTAAACAAGTATAAACCAGAAAAAAAAACAGTTACAAAAACATATAAACCATTTCAAACTGGAAAAAAAGTCAAAACCAGTTAAAACTGTGGAAAAACTCCAGTTAAAACCAGCATAAACCAGTTCAAACCAGAAGAAAACTAGTTAAAATGGGGAGGGGGGGAAACAGCTTAAACTGACCAAAACCCAATAAAACTGGAAAAACCAGTTTAGACCAGTTTGAACTGTGAAAAAAATGAATTTAAACCAGCCAAAATTATTTAAAACTGGAAAAAATCCCCAAGTTTAAACTGGCCAAAACCAGTTCAAACTGAACTGACCGAAATCAGTTTTAAAGTGTCAAAATCAGTTTAAGTCACCTAAAACCATTTAAAGCCAGCCAAAACCAATTCAAACCAATTTAAACCAGAAAAAAATAAACAAGTTTAAACTGGGAAAAATACAGTTTTGGGGGCAACTCGGTGGCAGAGTGGATAGAGCACTGGCCCTAAAGTCAGGAGTACCTGAGTTCAAATCTGGCCTCAGACCAAACACTTGACACTTACTAGCTATGTGACCCTGGGCAAGTCACTTAACCCTAATTGCCTAAAACCCACCCCCCCAAGGAAAAAAAAAAGTTTAAACTGGCCAAAACCAGTTTAATCTGCCTAAAACCAGTTTAAGCCAGTTTCCAAGTTTCATATATTTGAAATATCTTATAATATTATCAAAGTCTGTGGTGTTATCCCTTATTTCTTATTTGATAGAGTAGGAAATCAACACTCAGAAAGATTGAGATTGATCTAAGTTCATAGATCTAGTAAACAGCACAACCAGAACTAGAATGCAAGTCTTTGGATTTCTAATCCAGGATGCTTTCCATGATACCATGATTAATTCTTGCAGAATATGTCTTTTATGGAGAAGTTGTTGAAAAGGTGAATAGGCTATTGAGGTTAATTAGAAAAATAAGTTAAGGTTGGGGGAGTAGGATATTCATATTTGGGAAGTGAACTGACTGTTTTAAGACTCCCAGGGTGTCATTTAGTGAATGAATTCCTCCTGTTCACAAAATGTCATCCTAAACCACATGGTAAGCAAATTAACCATTATTTACCATAACAGTGTTTTGTATTAATTTGGAATCTCTTTCACAGTCAGTTAAAATAATTGACACACTCTAGGCTTGGTCCTGTTGGGGATAAGGGACAGAAGTTGATTGAAGTAAGTAATTCACTAAATGCAATTATAATGATCTGAGAAACTATTCAATGCTACTTACTCCCTTAGTATCTTTTTTTTCCACCATGCATATTCTTTACACAATATATATTAAGATCTCTGAGGAGACAGAAGAATTCTAGGTCTGTTCAAGTCAAAACAAACTATTGCAGGTGGATCTTGGACAAAAAAATGAGACAAGAAGAGAGGTCAAAGCATTACCTCAAGATATTGACCAGAGTTAACAGGGATTGTCTCAGTGTGTTGTAGCTGATTTAGGGGACTTAGAGATTTCCAAAGAATATACAAACCAGACAATGATGCTGAAAGTAATGGATTCTTTTTTTAGGCACTCAGGGTTAAGTGACTTGCCCAAGGTCACACAGCTAGTAAATATCTAAGTCTGGATTTGAACTCAGGTTCTCCTGACTCCAGGGTAGGTGCTCAATCCATTGCACTACCCAGCTGCCACATAATGGGTGTTTAAAATATAAATATATGTGTTACATATATCATTATAGACCAATCCATTTATCCCACTTAAAGGAAGGCACCTACCTTGAGATGCCTAGACTGGAGAAGTGGAATCAATGGGGTATGGAGGAAAGGAAGAATTGCAAGGATATAACAGGATCACAGCTGCCTAAGAGGAAGAAATACACAGTCAAATCTCAGGAGGGTATACAGGTTATACAGGGTCCCAGTCTTGGGGGAAATGGCCTTGAGGCTTGATAGGAGAAAGATCAATGATTCAGGTGAGAGGCTCTCTTCTTCTCTATCATCTAGGCTAGTTCATACTCTCAGTCACTTCTCCAGTACTTTAGTAAGGGACACCTGTACTGTTCCATGTACTGTACATGAAATAAGGGTAAGAGTTTTATAAGAAGTAGTATGATTTTGCTTATGTGAATTTGATTGTTATTCTACACCTGATGTCACAGGTAAGAAGGTGCCAGTTAGCTAGGAAGATGGAAGTTTTAAGATGTAGGGAATTCCAGAGAAAGGTCAGGAAAGGGACATGTCTAAGAACGAGGCAGCCGCTGGAAAAAGGCTGGACCTGGGCTACCCCCAGAAATTCATGTACATTATGAAAACTACCTCCCAGAAGGAATTAAGCACTTCCCTTTGAAATGTAATTAATGTAAATGATTCTCATGGTAAAGGCATGAGGAATACACATGAGGGAAAAAAGTCAGTTTGCAATATGGTGAAATCAGAGACGAGAGAGAAATTATATTAACATGCATCTAGCAGTAAGTGCTAGAAAAGTTTAATCTTCATCTAGGTTCATCCATGTTTGCAATGTTGATAGTATTGTCGATTTCTTTCTCTTGGTCAGATTACATAAAATTTTACCAGTTACCAAATCATGTCATTTTTTTTTCCTCAACAGCATATCTATTATACATCCTTTCATTTCCACTCACATAGTCATTACCCTTATTGCATCAGAAATCCTAGCAATAGCAAAAAGAGAAGAAAAAGAAATAGAAGCAGAGTAGGAAATGAGGTAATAAAACTATCTCTTTTTTGCAGATGATATGATGATATACTTGTACAAAGAAAAGACCTTGTAAAATATCCTTTGCAAACCTAGATTCTTGGAACCATCTAGGCATAAATTCTTATCAACCCTATGTAAGAATTTTCTGTGTTAAATGGGAATCCTTGCACAAAATGGGGGGTGGGTGTAATTTTCAAGCCTGCTTAAGATATTGGGGGTGTGTGTGTGTGTGTATGTGTGTGTTAATCTGGAACTTTACAACAATTGGCTAGTATTGTTTTTCTAGGGGTTTAAGTGAACTATTACATATGTGGGATTCCAGAACATAATTATTTTCTTGATTTCTAGTCACATATACCTTTTAAGATAAAAGTCCTGGTAAACTTTGTTATTGTGATAAGGCTAATTTAACTGGGTATATACATACTATATATATATATATATATATATATATATATACACACATACATACGTATATATATATTTGGCTTAGAAAAATCTGATTATCTTCCCCATTTCAAACACTTTTTTGACTAGAGTGGGGTGGCACTTAGGAATTTGTGGTAATTAGAAATTTATTTTGTTATAGTACTTTTGGGTACTTAACTTTGTTACTTAAAGACACCAACTTAATCTTGATAAATTCCCATTTTTAAGATTTATTTTTGCTTTAAGATTGAATAAGAGAGATATCTGTCATTTTCGAGTTTTCCAACTGATTTACTTCATGAAAAATTTAGTGATTATCTTTTTAACATCAGGATAAACTTTAAACTATTTTTAAGAAAGGGAAATACTTTTAGGAAACAATGTTTAAGTAAAAAGAAAAAAACCTTTTGTGAAAAAAAAAACAAACCCAAAACTTTTGTGTGACTTGTAGATGGCCTAATAAATTTTATTTGTAAGCCAATTTATTGCAGTAATTTGGTGATGTTAATAACAATTGTGTCCAGACCTACCATGATTAGTGAGACTTTTATTGTTTGAGGAGAAAGGCTTTTTTGGGATCTTGAATATTCTTTTTGGACTTTCATTCTTAGGTTTGTTGTGTCCTTGGACCAGCCTTAAATGGGCACTTAAAAAAAAGTCAGCAGTCAATAGCTCAATGGAAGCTACATCTGAAGATCAAAGGCTAGTGAACATCTGTCCCTGGGGATAAGGTTACCTTATCTATAAATTTATAAATTACTTTGAGAAGGCTGAGGTGGACTCTTCTTAATTCATTTTACTATATAAGAAATCTGGTTCCATATGCTAAGCTACTTAGAGTGATGTAGGCCTTAAGGACCAGTTTTGATGCTGTTATAACTATGTCCCTGCTTATAGCTCTCATAGCAAATTTCTACTGTCAGTAGAAACAAAGTGGAAGTTTGCTATTGCAGTACTGTTATTGCAATACTGAATCTATTAATTAATACTAAGGCATCTGAAATTACCGTAATAATCTGCAAGTATGAAAGATCTTGCTGTTTTGATCTGAATTTGTAGTCATTCCATGGTCCAAGTTAAAATTAGTGCATGTACTTGTCACATGCAGTTGCTGAAGTATCTTATTCTTTCAGAATGATATAAGTACAAATAGACAAAGGTAAAGAAGCTTATGAAACAAAGATATGAATCTATTAAGTGGTGAGGTTAAAGTCAGAAACCTCTTTTGTTTATGTTTTAAGGAACAGGATTTCAGTACAGTCAGTTATGTTAGTGAAGAGTAGTAATTTATAAGCTATCTTGTGTCACCTTAATGGGAAATCTAATTTTATTTATGTTTGTTATTTAATCTGGGATTAGAAAACATGTAGAAATGCATGCTTAAGAGTCACTTTAAAGATATTCCCATTGTTTAAAGAGATTTTGAGAGCAGTAATCTATGCTCATGGAACATGTTTTACTATAGACAACATTTCATTTAATCTGCTCTCTGTATACAATTTGGGATGACTATATTTACACATTCCATCCCAAATCTTTTGTTGTTTGTTATTAAGCATCTTAAAACAAAATCATTTGTGTAATGTGGAACTTAAGAATGAAAAGGCATCTACTTAGCATAAGTACTAATTATATCAAGATAAGTTGTGATTTTTCATGATGAATCTCTTACTGTTACCAATGTGAGATTATAGGCAATACTTGTTATTTAGGGAATGTGATCCTTGAAAATGGAATCCACTCAAAGTTATGATTATTGGAACTTGCTATTTAAGACCTTATGGGATTGTTAACTGACTTCCAGGTATGATCATCAAGGAATGCTATTGAGCCAATGAATCAATGATGCCAGCAACCCTATGGAGTTCACATGCGTGAACTATAGGTGGAGTTCTCACGGAAAAAAGTTGGGAGAATGACTTTTGCCATGAGCTGAGGTAAGATTCTCCTGACTATTTCTCCATTGTGATCTTTCCTCTTGAATGGAAAATATCCCAACTGGTTGACTTTAAGTTTGACTCAATGCAATTGACTATCTATATAATTTTTTGCCTGGAATTGACATGAAGCTAGGGAAGCATTATTCCCTTCCTATATAGTTATGTCCCTATTCTTCTTTTATGGAAAATTTCTATAGTCATGTCAGATGATCAGTATAAATACAATATTAGATCTTTATCTCTTAGTTTAATGCTGACTTACATTTGAATCACTATAATAAGATGTAGGTGTAAGGTTTGAGGTATTTAGCCTAGAATTTTGGTCCTTTTTATATTCCAAATAACTAAATGAATAAGTATCTAAACTTGGTCATCTGCTGTTACTAGTTATGTATTCCTATATAAGTTAAGGTCCTTTAATTTCTCATAATGATATAGGGATAATTAGGCAAAGACTTGTAAAACCAGAATATGATACTATTATTTAGTGAATATCATAACCATTTCAGTTCTGTGTTAAGGAAAGGAATACCAGTACAATTAGTTATCTTAGAAGAAGAATGAGGATGGCTAGGTGGCACAGTGGATAGAGCTCCAACTTTGGAGTCAGGAGGACCTGAGTTCAAATCTGGCCTCAGATACTTGACACTTACTGTGTGACCCTGGGCAAGTCACTTAACCCTGACTGCCTCACCAAAAAGCAAAAAAAAAAAGAAGAAGAAGAAGAAGAAGAAGAAGAAGAATGGCTTGTAGCCTATCTTATAAATGCCTTATAAAGACATTTTGTTATGGGCTATTTATTTGAACGTTGCTAGAAGTTGAAAATGTTTTTATTACAAACAGCTTATTTGATATGTACTGTTTTTAAATTGATTATACATCCCATACCAGAACCTTTTGTTTCCAAAACTGTTATTTAAAATTATGGTAGAGTGGATATAAACTTGGCTACTGGAATACCCTGTAAGGAGAAACCCTCAAAGTCAGTCCTGTTTGAAGTTATCAACGTGGTCTAGATTTGAATGGCTTTGTCCATTTCTGGAAAACCATCATTATTCACTATTAAATCTCACCACCAGAAACAAGGAAGCAGATTACATACTAAAAAATTCATGTTGCCACCCCACTTGGGGAGGCTTCCCTTCCCTAGAAGGGCAGGAAGTGACACATAGCTAATCACAAATCCTTTTTCCAGGACCAAAACAACAGAAAGGCCAATCACACAGAGTGATTATTCATCAGCAGCCTTTTGGGTATTGAGCACAATATGAGTCATGAAATTGCCTGTATCAGCTATTCTTCAGCAGATAAACTGAACATCATCTTTGGGCATTTTCGTGAAGGGGGAGAGAAGATGAGAGGGACAGATCCTCTCTCAGGACAGCTCTGAAGGGTCTCCACCTCTATCAAAAGTACATGAAGCCCCAGTGAACAGGGGAAGAGCAACTGAAAATATCTTGGACAGCAATAAGTATGGGCTTCAGTGAACACATTTCAACTTGGAAAAGGCATTCATGATGAGTTAGTACTTCTGGACAGAATCAAGGATTAACTCTGATTTGGTATCTTTCCTGATGAAATGCCTTGATCCTCCAGTTCCATTACAATCCTAAGTCAATAATCTAAATGAGTCTAAAGTGTCAAAGAGACTAAGTAAAGATGATTTCCACCAACACAATAATTAGTAGAGCTCTATGACCCAGGTTTTAACAAAAGCACTCTCGTACTACAACCTGGGATATGAAAATTTAAATTTGGTTTAATGCATAG